TATATATATATATGTATATATATATATATATATATATATATATGTGTATATATATATATGTATGTATGTGTATATATATGTATGTATGTGTATATATATGTATGTATGTATGTATATGTATGTATGTATGTATATGTATGTATGTATGTATGTATATGTATGTATGTATATATGTATGTATGTATGTATATGTATATATGTATGTATATGTATGTATGTATGTATATGTATGTATGTATGTATATGTATGAATGTATTATACTGTACATATATACTGGATATACTGTACATATATACTGGATATACTGTACATATATATTGGGGCAGCACGGTGGTGCAACTGGCAGAGCGAATGCCTCTCAGCGAGCAAGTCCCTGGTTCAAATCCCAGTCCTGGGGCCTTTCTGGGTGCAGTTTGCATGTTCTCTCCGTGCATGCGTGGGTTTTCTCCAGGTGCTCCGGTTTCCTCCCACAGACCAAAAACATGCATGTTAGGCTGATTGGTAACTCTAAATTGTCCCTAGGTGTGAGTGAGAGAGTGAATGGTTGTTTGTCTCGTTTGTCTCTACGTGTCCCTGTGTGGACCTGCGACCTGTCCAGGGTGTACCCCGCCCTTCGCTCCTCATAGTACCTGGAGAAAACCAACACGTGCATGGAGAGAACATGCAAACTCCACCCAGAAAGGCCCCCGGACCGGGATTTGAACTGTGGTGTCCTGCTCGCTGAGAAGCAGCAGCTCTACCAACTGTGCCACCGTGCTGCCTTATAGTTTTCAAATTTGAGAAAAACACAACATGGAATATGTAGCTGCATTATAATTCCTCCCAGTTTGTCTTTGAGTTACAAGGAACTATTTGAATAAACAACAAACAAATAATAAATATATATAATTATATAATATATTGTCTAGGCTTATCCGTCCCTCACATCATTTGCACAGTCATTGTCTCGTTGTCCTGCTGTGACCTCTAACCGTTAACTTCTAACTGAAGCTTGAGTCAGCGATGGAGCTCATTTCTCTGAGCATTGCACGGTCTGACCTTCAGGGTAAATGGTCCCCTTCAGGTTCATTCATTCCTGGGAAGATTGGCAGCTGTCTTAAATATATATATAAAAAATATAAAAAATCCTGAATAGTTTGGAAATGACTTTTAACCTAATTCAATTGATGAGTAACAACAGATGCTTCTCTAAGGTCATTGCTGATGTTTTTCCATCTTGACGTTGCGTTAAAACGCTCCAGCGCAGCAAACTGACAAAACGTCCGCTTGGTGGGAAAATAAAAACGCGTTAAGGCCAGAAGTGTAGTGTAGAGTTGCACTCAGTCGTTAAAAAAAAAAAACAAACAGTTTAAATTTCTAGTTTGTCTATGAAGACGTGATGATAAAAAGTGCAAAGAAGATCTGCATCGTATTATTTTTGATTATTAACCAGGTCAGAAAAAGAAGTGGCTGTCCCAGCAGTGATGGATGTGAGCAGTCCAGGGAAGAAGGTTCCCATCAGGATCGTCCACACTGAGAGCAGCTCAGGTCAGCGGGGACCAGTCGATCAGACCAGCGAGACCGGCAGCGTCCCCGAACCCACAGAGCACCCACCATCATCCCTGTTCTTCACCTCCACCCACCAACCAGAACAGGGTGCAGAGTTGAGTCAGGAGGAGTCCAGGTCAGTTGGGGACCAGCACCTCAAGGACGAGGTCAAGAGGCAGGAGCTGGCCAGGGACATCATGGGTAAGGACAAGTCTCTGGTGGACATCCTGGACCAAAGTGGAAGGAAAACCACCATGGACCTGATGGAGGGACTCTTCCCAGCAAAGGAGAAGATCCTGGAGGGGGCTCAGCAGCGGAGGAGGGCGTCTGCAGGGTCCAGACTGCCCACCTTAACCAGGTGGGACATTTGAGCAGAAAGAACTTTATATTTGTACATTTATGTCTTGTATCCGGATATTTACAGAGAAATGCCGACATTTAGTCACTTTTGAAGAAAAAAAAAATCCGACCCCTTTCACTCAGTTTATCAAAAAAAAAAAAAAGCCGAAATATTAATTTTGTTTCAAACTCTTTGCCAACCAGCTAGACTTTTTATGAAAACTTGGAGCTCTGCATGAAGCACATGTGAAAACGTTCAATTTTTCCTCATTTTACCCTCCTGTCTTCAGGAAGCGTTTATGGTTCATGGTGATTTTATAAACACAAACGTCTCTAAAGTCCAGTTTTTGCCCTCATTGTTTTAACAGATAAAGCCAAAGTTCAAGATAAATTTAATTTCAGTCCTCTCTTGTAAATGAGTCCCCGTGGCTCAATGGGACTAACCTGTCTAAATAAAGGTTGAATGAATTTATTGACCAGTTCGGGCTTGTTAACCTGGTTTAAGTCTGCCCTCTGGTGGACAAATTGTAAAATTACATCTGTCATTTTAACTAGTTTTCAGAATCAGAATGCCTTTATTGTCATTATACACAGTACAATGAAATTAAGAGCCACTCCTTTTTTCAGTGCAAAAACACGCCTGAAGAAAACACACACTAAAATATATTTAAAAAATGTAACGCAATATAGATATAATAATGAAAGTAAAAAATACAAGTATTTCACAATTGTATATCATACCATACCAATTTATTTATAGAGCACTTAAAACAGCAACAAGGCCAACCAAAGTGCTGTACAAAGGAAAACAAACATGCACAGCAGACAGGAAAACATAAAATAAAAATACAGATACAAATAGCAGCAGAAGCTAACTAAAATGGCCAACAGAGTAGAGAACAGACCGGACCAAAACAAATCACACCGTGTTAAAGGCAAGAGAATAGAAGTGGGTCTTCAAGCGAGACTTAAAGACTGAGAGTGTGGGAGCCTGCCGGACACTCAGTGGCAACTCATTCCACAGTCGTGGACCTGCAACAGAGAAAGCCCTGTCACCTCTGAGCTTACGACGGGTTTCTGCGAATTATATTGCACATTGTGGATATTAGTGAGGTTGTTAAGGTGATTGAGAGTATGAAATGTCAGTAGTATTGCACAATAGAAGTCCAGGGGTTTGGGAGGTTAGATTATTAAATCGGTGCATGTGTGAGTTCAGTGTGGTGATGGCTTTCGGGAAAAAACTGTTCTTGAATCGGTTTGTTCGTGTTCTGATGCACCTGTAGCGTTTCCCTGAAGGTAGCAAGTCAAACAGTTCAAAACCCGGGTGTGAACAGTCCTTGATTATGCTTTCTGCTCTGTTGAGGCAGCGTGATGTGTAAATGTCCATCAGGGAGGGGAGAGGGCAGCCAATGATCTTTTGTGCTGTCTTGACTACTCTCTGAAGCCTTTCCCTGTCAGCCAGGGTGCAGCTGCCGTACCATACTGAGATACAGTATGTCAGCAGGCTCTCGATGGACGAGCGGTAGAAGGTCAGCAGCAATTTGGTGTTCAGGTTGTACTCTTAAGAAGTGTAGTCTCTGCTGAGCCTTCTTGATGACCGCTGTGGTGTTCTCTTTCCAGTTAAGGTCAGCAGAGATATGGACACCAAGAAATCTGAAAGTGTGAACCCTCTCCACGCACTCGCCATTGATGTGAAGGGGGCCTAGGTTGGTGCTGTGCTTCCTGAAATCAATAATTACCTCCTTGGTTTTTTTTATATTCAGAGCCAGGTTTTTCGCTGAGCACCAGGTTGCTAGCTCCAGGACCTCCTGTCTGTAAAATGTCTCAGCTCCCTTAGAGATTAGTCCGACCACTGTGGTGTCATCAGCGAACTTGACGATGAGGTTGTTGTTGTGGACCGGGCTGCAGTCATGGGTGTAGAGACAGTACAGCAGGGGGCTCAGCACACAGCCCTGTGGGGAGCCAGTGCTCAGCGTACGAGTGGAGGAGAGGTGGGGACCAAGTCTTACAGATTGGGGACGATTGGTTAGGAAGTCTTTTATCCAGGCACATGTGAGTGGGGGGAGGCCGAGATTGTCCAATGTGTTTATAAGAATGTCCGGAATGATTGTGTTAAAGGCCGAGCTGTAATCCACAAAGAGCATTCGAACGTAGCTGTGCTGTTGTTCCAGGTGGCTCAGCGCGGTGTGGAGAGCTACTGCAATAGCATCCTCTGTGGACCTGTTGGTGCGATATGCAAACTGGTAGGGGTCAAAGTTCGGAGGGAGATAGTCCTTGATGCACTGGAGAACCAGTCTCTCGAAGCACTTCATGATTACCGGAGTGAGAGCCACCGGTCGGTAATCATTCAGGCTGGTGATGGTAGGCGTTTTCGGCACTGGGATGATGGTTGCAGATTTTAAGCAGGGAGGGATGACTGCCTGGGCCAGGGAGAGATTGAAAATTCTGGTGAAGGTGGTGCCCTCTGGTGGACAAATTGTAAAATTACACCAGTCATTTTAACTAGTTTTCCATTAACCACTTTTATAATTTGCTACAAATGTTTGTTTTTTTCTCTGGTGTTTGCCATCAGGAGGGAGGAAGAGGATGCGTCTTCCTCGGCCTCAGCCTCCCTGGTCCCCAGCTCCTCCTACTACAACACATCTGCTCCCAAAGCCGAGCTCCTCATCAAGATGAAGGACATGCAGGAGCAGCTGGAGGAGCAGGACTCTGAGGATGAGCTGGATGTGGACCTGGCCAGTAAAAAGGTAGAACCCATCCACTCTGGTCCCAACAGAACGAGTGACGCTGAAGGTGATTTTCTGTAATTGTCCTCTTCAGCAAGAGCTCATCTCCAGCCTGGCGCGGAAGCTGCTGGTGCTGCGGGAGGCGCGGCAGAGCCTGCAGGAGGACGTGGAGGACAACGAGGCTCTGGGTCGGGAGGTGGAGGCCACCGTGCAGCGTCTCTGCCAGCCCAACCAGCTCGATAAGTTCTGCATGTTTGTGGGCGACCTGGATAAGGTGGTGAGCCTGCTGCTGTCGCTGTCGGGGCGACTCGCCCGGGTGGAGAACGCCCTCAACAGCCTGGAGGACGAAGCTCTGCCGGAGGAGAAGGTGACTGCTCACATGAGGCCACTTTCATTTTGCCAACTAGAACCAACATTTTTCAGTAAAGATTCATCAAATGTCTAGTTGTTCTAAAGTTGCATCAACTTTTTTTTTCTTTTTTTTTAAACAGCATTTAAAACTAGACGGGGAATTTACAAAGGTCGCAGCTTTTGTTGTCATATGAAAACAAAAATTAAAACAAATCATCAAAAACGGCGTCTTTATCTCTCTCCAGTTTTAGCTTCTCGCCACTGGCTCCCTGTCAAATCCAGAATCGAATTCAAAATCTTACTACAAAGCCCTCAACAACCTAGCTCCATCTTATATTACAGATCTTATTGGTCCATATTTTCCCAACAGAGACCTTTGCTTGCAGACTGCAGGCTTACTCGCGGTTCCTAGAGTTTCTAAAAGCAGAATGGGAGGAAGATCTTTCAGTTATCAGGCTCCTCTCTTGTGGAACCAACTTCCAGTTTCTGTCCGTGAGGCTGACACATTGTCCAGTTTTAAGACTGGGATTAAAACTCCCCTTTTTGATAAATCCTATAGTTAGGGTTGGCTTGTTATGCTGCTATAGACTTAGACTACTAGAAGACAAATCGACCCCATGTCCTTAAAGGAATTGTTACAATTGAATAGTTTTCATTTGATACTATTTCTATCTTAACGGGATTCTCGACCTGCCATTGTGTATCTGTTCTTCTCAAACTCAGCCGGTCGAAGCAGATGGCCGCTTGTCCTGAGCCTGGTTCTGCTAAAGGTTTCTTCCTCATGAGGGAGTTTTTCCTTTCCACTGTCGCCTTCTTGCTTGCTCAATATGAGAACTCAAAGCAGTCTGCTCCTCAGATAAATTCATTCAATTAACCTTTTACTTATTTTATATATGAAAGTTTCTGTTCGGTGTCCTGAGACGACTTCTGTTGTGACTTGGCGCTATAGAAATAAACTGAACTGAATTTCGGCTGGAGAGCCAAGACTCTTTGCTGGCAGAACCAGACTAAAGAAAAAGTACTGCACTCACTTCATTGTTTTCTAGCAAGTGTCCATTTAACGTCAGGATGTTGGATTTGCCAACAGAGTATCATTATGTTATAGAAAACAGTTTGTTTGTTTTAACTAAGCACTCTAACTATGCAGAAAAGCCCAGAAAGAACGAGAATATGATGTTTAGGGCTTTTATTTCCGTTATAAGTTAGTAGAAATCTCAAAGATCAAAAATGTGACTTTCCACAGCCAACTGCAGAAACGTGTGTTGTTACTGATTTAAACCTCCAAAGGTCTTATTATGTGGAAAAAAATCTGCCATACATCATTTTTTTTCTGATTTTATTTATTTATGGTGCTGTCAACAACATTTGTCAAAGCCTAAAAGGCTTCTAATAAAAAAAATAAAAAAAATTTTTTTTTTTGCATGGTCAGAATTTTTAAAAAAGCTCCCATAGCCTGACGGTAACATTACTACTTTGTACACTACTACTATCGTTTATCGTTTGTGTTTTTATGTCTTGTATTCTGTAAAGCACTTTGTGGTTTCTGACCTGTAAAAGGTGCTACATAAATACAATTTACTTACTTTCTTACCCTCTAGAGCAGGGGGTTTCAAACTGGGGTCACTAGACCCCCGGGGGTCCACGAGCCGGTACTTGAGGGTCAGCAAAAAAAAACAAGTAATTAAAAAAATTACAAGCACATAGATGTTTAACAACCCCTTAAAATACATTCAAATGCAGGAAATCATATCTACTTTATTCAAAATTTTCTGGGGGAGGATCCCCCCACCCCCACCCCCACCCCCACCTCGCTATTTGCGTTCCAGCATCGATTGGTTTCCAAATTAAGCCTAAATTAAGTTTTCTGTAATCATTTGAAGAAGTGGCAACACATTTATTATGTTCATTATGTGAATAGGTAAAGTTTTAAAACAGTTTTTGATGCTGTTAATTTGCTCAAAACTGTAATTTTTGGAAGTTGAAATTAAAAAAATATTGTTAATTAGGTGTGTAATGAATGAAAACTACCCCATGTTATTAACACTATTAAAGAACAGGTTTTACGTATTTGTGTTACACGAATATTTCCATTGCATTAAAGAGACAAATTGAAGAAAACAATTTAATAAACATGAGGGTTATGAGGGAGTCCCTGAAACTTTTTCTCCCCTGTAAGGGGTCACTGAACTCAAAAAGTTTGAAAATCCATGCTAGAGTTCCTTAGGGGGGAAACTGATCACAGGGAAATCCCAATATAAATGCATTTTTTATCCCATACTTATCATACCATTAAATAATGCATTCCCTTCAGTGTTGCTTTTTTATTATTTTACCTCTTTCTCTATCATTTTGGATCTATATTAGCTGACTCAGTGACGCTTTGCTTTTATGTTTGAGAGCCTCGGTAAAGATTTTATCGGGACAGACTTCAACTTACCCCGAAGGAGGTACGTCTTTCTCAGCTGGACGATGCTGTGGAGTTCGGCCTCTCATCTCGTCCAACAAAGCTGTTTGTTGTGATGCAAAGAGCAAAAGCACACTTGCAATGTGCATGAGTAAACATTTAGTACAAAAATGCAGTTCCATACTGAAGAATTGGACGCTACACCGGGCAAAACAAAAAAATTGCCATAAAATAAATATTTTGTCCAAAAAAAATTTTTTTTAAATGCGGAGACCAAAGTTCATGTTCATTAATCCAGGTATAAATCCAGCAATGTTCATTCAGGTCATCGGGACGGTTTCTTTTGTTGCTGGGACGTTTTGTCCTTCATCCAAAGGACTTCTTCAGTCTGAGGAGCCCATCAAACCAAACGGAATCCCACAAACAGCTCACTCCCAGAGTGGAAAAAAAAAAAATTGTTGGTGATAAGATGGCCTCCGGGGCCCGCCCTCTCCCCCGTCAACTCTAAAGGTAGCCATGCCAAAGTGGTTCAAAACACACTCTGGGAGTGAGCCGTTTTTGAGATTCAGTTTGGTTTGGTGGGCTCCTCAGACTGACGAAGTCCTTCGGATAAAGGACGAAATGTCGCATAACAAAAGAAACTGTCCACATGACCTGAAATGTGGAGTTTTATGAAAATAACTGCAAGAGTTGAAAAAAAAATCATATACTGTAAATTATATATATTTTTTTTTCAGGCTGAGATGACTCTAAAAGGTTTTTTTTATTGTGAAAACAATATTAAAAAGTGGTGTTTTAAGCAGTTATACATGGTGGTTGTTTTTGCCTCTGTCATGAAGTTAAAGAACCTCCTGTGAGTTAATGGGATCTGATTAAATTAACATTTTTTCTGTTCTTATTTGCTGACTAATAACTTTTCTTTGTCCTCCGTCAGCGAACCCTGACCGAGAAGCGTAAGCTACTGATGAGGCAGCACGACGACGCCAAGGAGCTGAAGGAGAACCTGGACCGTCGGGAGCGTCTGGTGTCCGGCATCATGGAGGCCCACCTGGACGCGGAGAGCCTGGACGACTACAGACACTTCGTGAAGATGAAGTCCGCGCTCATCATCGAGCAGCGAAAGCTAGAGGACAAGATCAAGCTGGGTGAGGAGCAGCTGAAGTGCCTGGTAGAAAGTCTGCCACTGGAGCAGAGGCCCCTGCTGTGATTACAAACTGCATCGGGACGAGGAAGAATTCTTCTGAAGGGGAGATTTGTTGAATTTTTTTTAATACGTCTCAAGTTTAGAACTCAGATAAAATCGTTTGTCATATGCTGAGAGGTTTTTACCAAAAACACGCAAGACGTTGAGGAGAAATCACTTATAATAAAACGAGATTTTTTTTTCAAGTTTCAAGAAGACTGGCTAGATTGTACCGTTTAATGACATTTGTCCTGAATTTAGAGCAAAATGCAGAAAGCAGGACACATTACACCTTCTTCACTGCCTAAAAGTGGGGGTTCCCGACCATGGTCCTTGAGGAACACCATCCTGCATGTTTTAGTTGTTTCTCTGCTCCAACACACCTGGTTTTAATTAATGGGTGATTAACAGGCTTCTGCAGAACATGAGGAAGTAATTCAATTACTGAATCAGGTGTTGGAGCAGGGGAACAAATAAAATATACAGGATGGTGTTCCTCAAGGACCAGTGTTGGGAACCCCTGGAAAGGAGCTATTTAAACAAGCAGATCTGCTGTTTTTGAAGCCATTTGATTCCTTTAATGGTCAGGAGTACCAAAAAAACACACAAAAACAACTAAAGTTAAAAAAAAAAAAAAAAAGATTTGTAATCTGTAAGATAGATAAGTTATACATAAAGATACGCTCATTTTGCTAACAAATATCTGTTTTTACTTTATTTTTTGCTGAATTGTTTTAGATTTAGAGCAACAAAGAAGCTGTTCTTCAGACTGAGTTGATCATATTGTTCCGGATTCAAATCAACACGTCCTAAAAAGATAAAAACCTAAAGAGACGGTTAAAAAGCCCAAATCTCTTGATGTCCTTGACTTTTATTTCTTTACATCTTACCGTTTAAATGTTTCCACTGAGCTGCTGTTGGATGTGTTCTTACCACCAGGGGATTTTAATATTTAATGTAATGTTTTAGTAATTTATTGTAGCCTTTTATGTAGGCAGATTTATCTTTTTAATTTATTTCAGCCACTTTTTTTCTTCTTAATATTAATTATGAAACAGTTAAAATCTGGTTTAGTTATCATCCAGCTTTAGGTGTTTTGTCCGTGAGATTTTTGGTCATTTTTTTTCCGCTCGTTCGTTTCGTGCAAATGAAAGTGTTGCATATGAGAAATAATGTAATTTGGATGTGAATCTGATTCCAGTTGGACAGTAGTCTCACACGCTGCTCGCTGTATTTATTTTTGTACGTCAAAGGTTTCCGTTTAAACTGCTTTTGTCTGAAGCTTTAATCCAAGCATGAGAAACTGAAGTTGGTTGAAAAGTTAGCACTTTACCTGTTTTGTTTTGCTCATTTGCTGTACCAACTTCAGATGTGCCTCCTGTAGCTGTGATCTCTGTGGACTGGGTGCATGTCTGCAGTTTGCTTTTTCACCATTTTAAAGGCATTAAACTGAAAACACTGAACACTGCAGAGGAGTTTCTGTGCTTCTGTGAAACTTTTAATCGCAGTCGGTGTCCGAAAATCCAATCAGAGGGGGCAGCTCTTGACTTTGTGACATTTCCATTGAGAAACAGGCAAAACGTTTGCCACAATCTTTTGATTTGTCATTAATTGTGTGTATTTAGCATTTCAAAGGATGATGATGATGTTCAAAGATGCCCCATTTTTTCTGGCCCTTACGTTAGAAAAACCAGTCACTCTATGGCTGGAGTGTGGTCTAGTAGACAATGAAGTTGATTTTTTAATTGGTGATGTTCATTTGGCATCAGTTTCTATTGATAATTGTTTCAGCTTGTAAACTGGAGCAGTACTAGCTGTCTGGTTAAAACTAAAGTGGCTCAAATCACAAAAAAAAAACTCATTTAGACCCAATATTAGGTTTTGTCTCGTGATGCTTTGGATCAAAAATGACTCGCATCAATGGCAGAATAATCCTGATTGCCATAAATTTACCTGATAATAAGTAATACTTTATGCAAACTGATCACCCTCTATTAAAGCAGAATCGGCTCAAATTAACCCAAACTATCCTGTACACAGTCAAAAGAAGGAAATTATGAGAAAAAGCTGGGAATGAGCAGCCATGTTGGACTCTTACTGATTCCAGATGTTATCATTCAGTGATTTTTACATACATACATACATACATACATATATGTATACATACATACATACAAA